TGTTAAGATAATCGTGTTACATATTATAATTATAATTTCTGATTATGTCCTTTTCCCATCATTTCATTCTTCCTAAACCTTCTTCACATCCCAAACTATTTGGCTGAGAATTGTACAATACTTCTCAGAGCCCATCACCACCCATGTTCCTTAGTTATCCAGAGGATTTGGTGAGAAAAATATTGTTGTTTGTAGTAGTATTACCATAGCGCCTAGGTGCCCCAGTCATGGACCAGGTTCCTATTGAGCTAAGAGCTGTTCAGACACAGAACTAAACTATGATCCCTGTCCCAACAAGCTTACAATCTAAGTGTAAGATGAGACAATAGATAAGTACAGCCTGAATGACAGCAGAATAAAAAAAAAATAGACTATATTGGTTAACGTGGTAAACAGTGGACCTCAGCACACCAGCTGCCTAACTGTTGTCAAGTTTTCTGAAGGTATCATGGAAAAGGATTGTTTTAAAGAGGGATTTGAAGGAAGATAATACATTAGTTTTACAGAAAGTTCTTCTGAAGAGTGAGGAGCAGCATGGGAGAAAACACAAAATTTAATAAGTGGTAACGGAGGCTGGCATCATGGGCCAATTGGAGTTGACACCTTGATACTGAATGAAAGATAATTGGTAGGGTTGGGATAGGCCATAAGGGACTTTGAAAGTAAAGACAAGTAGCTTAGATTTGTTTTGATACAGAAGGGCAAGTCAGCTGAGGGAGGCAAAAAAAGGGATGATGTGGTCAAAGCGATGGGCTAAGAAAGCGATCTTTGCCGCAGCATTCTGAGTGGATACGAAACAGATACAAGGCTGTATTTGTCAACGCCAGAGAGAAGGATGTTGCAGTAATCAATATATGACATAAAAAGAGCCTGAATGAAAGTTTAAGCTGTGGGATGAATAGGAAAGACTGTTTCTTAGAAATGTTACACAGAAAGAATAGTCAAGATTTAGACATAGCCTGGATGTGAGGACTTTGACAGAGGTGAATAGATGAGGATACCCAAGTTATAGGCCTGAGTATCAGGCAGTACAGAGTTGTCCATAGTGATCAAGAAAGGAGGTAGCAGAGAGAAAGATTAAGAGCTCTGTTTTAGCCATATTGATCTTGAATGGATGGCTAGAAATCCATGAGATGTCAGAAATACAAGCTGAGATTTTAGTTAGGATATAAGGAGACAGTTCTGGAGCAGAGAGGTAGATTTTTGAGTCATCCTCATAGAGATGGTAGCTGAATTTGTGTTTTCAGGTGAGATTACCCAGAGAGAGGATGCAGAGGCAGAAGAAAGGGACTAAGGAAAGAGCCATGTGCGCTCACCACAGGAAGCTGGAGGGGAGATGGGGAGGGTCTTCTGAAGGACACACTGAAAGAATGATTAACGAGTAAGAGGAGAACCAGGAAAGGACAGTCAAGCAAGCCAATGAAGGACAAGATTTCAAGAGGAGCATGGTTGGTGGTGTCCAAGGTTGCTGACAGTCAAACAGGATGAGGATATTGGTTCTGAGTTTTAGCCACAAAGAGGTCATTAGAGACTTTGGTGAGGGTGGCTTCAGTGGAGTACAAGGAGCAGAAGCTGGATTGGATGGAAATGGAGGAGAGGGACTCCAGACATCAATTGTAAACAGTGCGTTCAATGAGCTTAGAGTTGAAAGGTAGACAGGGTGGTAGCTGAAGAGGCCAGTGGGGTCAAAGGGATTTGTTTTGTTTTAAGATTGGAGAAACTAAAACATGTTTGTATTGTGAGGAAAAAGAGGCACAGGAGAGGTTAAGGAGAAGAGTAAGGGGTAGGGGGATAAGAGCAGGCACAAGGGAGACCAGGGGATGGAATGGGATTACTGTGCCAAGCAAAGGGATTAGAGAAGGAGAGCAGATGAAAATCTCTCCTCCTTCTCCCCTATCTCAGGCACAGAAATGTGGGAAGGGAAGCTGAAGGGTAGGGGAAGATCTGTCATATTAAGTCAATTTTCTCTTCAAAACAAATCAGTGAGTTCCTGTGTGGGGAAAGAAATGAAGTGGAGGCAGAAGGAGAGGAGAATTTGGAGTGAGTGTCAGCCAAAGTAGCCAAAAAGGCAGCTGGGATTGAGGATATGGGATTCAATTAAATTGGAGAGGTAGAGTTGTTTAGCTAAGAAGATGGCAGAACTAAAAGAGGAGAAAACAAATTTGCACTGGAGGAAGTTGGCTGGGTCATGGGATTTCCACCTGAGAGAGACACCAGAGAGTGCAAGAGCAGGAGCAGAGGAAGTGGATACTGGGGGTGAGCCAGGACTGTCGGTTGGCAGGGCGGACCTTGTGATGGGAGAGAAGGGCCGAAGACTACTTTTGCGTAGGTTCTCAGGCACTACCATATTTTTCTCTGGTGGGCGAAAGTTTAGGAAAAGGTATACAAATGCTACTAACTGAATAAGAGCTACAGGAGATTTTCTTGTACAATCATAATATCCATAGTTCAAATCCAAATAGAAAAATCACTTCCTCACAATCTTTCTATTATTTTGAACTGAGCAAAAAGCCAATCTAAACAGGGACCACACCACAGTATATTAAAAGCTTCAGGCACTAACAAGTTCATGCAAATGTATGAGATTTCCATGTATATACATCAAACAACTACATACATTATTAATGCAATCTGCTTGTTTTAAACAAGACATAAAAGGCTGTAGTATGGGCAGGCACAAACTAATTTGAAAAGGCAACATCCTAGGAACTCTTTCATGCCGTGTATATCTTTTTCATGTAAACTTAATAACTGTAAATATATTTTAATAAATGACAGAAGGGGCAGTTACCAAGGACAAAGAAAAGTGTTTATTGGGGCTGGGAGGAGGAATCAATGGAAATGCTGTACTTTCAAATTAATCGCTTTACCTGAACATAAAAGAAAAGCATAGCTTTATATTTTAAGACAAGATTACAGCATTCATCATGGTTGCCAACAGAACTGGGTGATAAATGTGAGAGAAAACAATTTGTCTGAAAATGTTCTCAGCTTGGGAATTTGCTTACCTCCTCAACCCTTAAGCCTAAGAGCACATGGTCTTTGCAACGTGTCCTATTTACTTGGGCATTTTCCAAGTATAGCTTAAAAAAGGATCTGATTTTTTTCTTGTGGTTGAGGAAATTTGTTAGCATTTGTATATAACCATTTAATTAATGTATCTATTAAATTTATATTATTTTATAATTATTTGCTGTATGTTTACTGAGAGGCCATAACTGGCACTTTGTTTAAACTGAAAGAATAAAACAAAGTAAAATCTAAACTAAATTTTGATAATATATAAGAAAATTGCATCCATTAATTTTAAATGGAAGAATTTTCTTTCCTCTGGATTTCTTTGCTTTCAGGAGGTGGAGTCCTTTCTTCCTCCACTGCACATCATCTCATTTCTATTTAAAGTTTTTGTTTAGAGGAGCAACAGTTGGATTTAAGTTTAGGGGTAACTTGAAATTTTTGAAACAAACAAAACCAATTTTTCACATCCTCACCATAAAACTACCATCATGGGGAACCTTCCAGATTAAGGGCCAAATCCTGCTCTTCTTACTCCCATAGTCAAATAACTATTTGCTATAGTTCAAAGGGAGCTTCTGGATGCTCAGTATTTTTAAAAGTTAGGCCACTTAGTTAGCTGTCTAAATATGGCCTTAGGAGCCTAAACTTTAGGCTCCCATTTTTAAAAATCTGGGCCTGCATGTCTCAGTATTGCGTTTCAGTGCTTCAAATTCAGGGCCGGCTCTAGAATTTTTGCCGCCCAAGGCAAAAACAATTTTGGCCG